GAAAGATAGCTAGAAAACCCAAAAAATACATGGCGATTAAACAACACACTTCTAAATAACACATCAAAGAAGGATCACAACAGAAATTTTAAAATACCTAAGAGTAAATAAAAAGTAAGTAAAATACCTAAGAGTAAATAAAATACAATTTATCAATATGTGTGAGATGCAGCAAAAGTAGTGGTTAGAGGACAATTTACAGCATCGAATACATATAAAAGAAGAAAGGTCTAAAACCAATGACCTATACTTCCACATTAAGACACTAGAAAAAGAACAAATTAAATCTAGTATAAGCAGAAGAAAAGAAATAATAAAAATTAGAGCAAAATCATTAAATTGAAAACAAATCGATAGAGAAAAACAACAAAAGGAAAAGCTGATTCTTTGAAACGAACAATATAATCAATAAGCTTCTAGCAAGACTAAGAAAAAAAAGAAGACACAAATTACTAGTATTAGAAATGAAAGAAGAGATATCACTGTAGATCCTGTGAACATTAAAAGGAATACTATGAACAACTTTATGCCCACAAATTTGATAACCTAAGCGAAATTGATCAATTCCTTGAATGACATAGTCAGCAAAAACTCACACAAGAATAGACAATATGAATAGGCCTAAACAGATGGTCTTCCATTTAGAATGGTTTGACTTATGATTTTTTGACTTTATGATGATAAAACAATACGTAGTAGAAACTGTACTTCAGAGTTTGAATTTTGATCTTTTTCTAGGCTAGCAGTTTGTGGTATGATACTCTTATAATGCTGAGCAGTGGCAACGAGCCACAGTTCCCTCTCACCACTCCATTTCAACATTGTACTGGACGTCCTGACTGATGAAATAAGAAAAGGAAATAAGAAATATATAGATTGGGAAAAAAGAAATAAAACTGGCTTTGTTTGCAGATGACACAATCATCTATGTAGAAATCTGAGAGAATTGACCCCCCAAAAAATCCCTTCTGAAATTATAGGTGATTATAGCAAGGTTGCAGGATACAAAGTAATATATAAAAGTAATTTGCTTCCTACATACCATCAATGAATAAATAGATTTGAAATTAAAAACAATACCGTTTACATTAGCATTCCCAAAACAAAATACTCGCATATAAATCTAACAAAATCTGTATAAGATCTATATGAGAAAAACTATAAAACTCTGTTGAAGGAAGTCAGATAATAACTAAATAAAGGGGGAGATATTCCATGTTCATGGATAGGAAGGCAATATTGTCAAGATGTAAATTCTTCCCAATCTGATCTATTGATTCAGTCTAGTCCTATCAAAATCCCAGTGGGTTATTCTGTGGATATCGACAAACTGATTCTAAAGTTTGTATGGAATAGCAAAAAGCCCAGAATAGCCAATATTGAATGAGAACAAAGTTGAAGAACTAATGCTACCTGACTTCAAGACTTGCTATAAAGCTACAATAATCAAGGCAGTGTGGCACTGGTGAAAGAATAGACAAATAGATCATTGGAACAGAATAGAGAGTCCAGGTAAAGACCAACACAGATGTACTTAACCAATCTTTGACAAGGATCAAAAGCAATATAATAAAGCAGAGCTTTAGTCTTTTCAACAAATGGTGCTGGAACAACTGTATATCCACATGCAAAAAAAATCTAGACACACACTTTACTTGTTTTACACCTTTCATAAAATTCAACTCAAAATAGATCTTAGAACTAAATATAAAATAGAAAACTATAAAACTCCTAGAAGATAATACAGGCGAAATCCTAGATGACCTTGGGTATAGTGATGACTTTTTAGATACAATATCAAAGGCATAATTTATGAAAGAAATGATAAGCTGGACTACTTTAAAATCAAAAACTTTTGCTTTGCAAAAGACATTGTCAAGAGAATGAGAAGACAAGCCACAGACTGGGAGAAAGTATTTGCAAAAGACATAACTGATAGAGGACTGTTATCCAAGATATACAAAGAATTATTAAAACAACAGTAAGAAAATGGATAGCCTGATTAAAATATGGGCCAAAGACCTAAACAGACACCTCACCAAAGAAGATATACAGATGCTATATAAGCACATGAAAGGATGCTCAACATCATATTTCATTAGGGAAATGCTGTTGTTGGATGAAGTAGTCTTTAGATGTCAAAACAATGAGACACACCTATTAGAATGGCCCAAATCCAGGACACTGATGACACCAAATGCTGGCGAGGATGGGGAGTAACAGGAACTCTCATTCCTTGCTGGTGGGAATGCAAAATGGCACAGCCATTTTGGAATATAGTTTGATAGTTTCTCACAGAACTAAACATATTCTTACCATATGATCCAGCAATCACGCTTCTTGGTATTTACCTAAATAAGTTGAAAACTTGAGGGAGAACTATTATTACCCTGCTGTGGCCCAGATAACTTGCTGAAGAGGAGACTCAATTATGAAAAGCCAGCACTGCCTGTTTAGGAAAAGTGGCCACACTAGGTTGCGGCCTGCACCTGGAAGGGGGTCATGTGAGGCAGGGAGTGCTGGTGGGGGCTCCGGGCCACGGGGGCTGTGAGGCAGGGCGTGGGTTGGGGATGGAGGCACAGATCTGGTGTTTGCTGGGGCTCTGCCCCTTGCTGAACCTTTCTGAGCATCAGCTTTTTTATCTGTACAGAATTTCTTTGCCATGGTGACCTTTCAAAGATATAAATCTACTTGTGTCAGCCCTTGTTTGGAGCTACTCTACTTGTGGTCTACACACAGGTGCTGGCCCAAGATAGAGAAATGCAAAAATGGTTGTGTGCAATTGGAAACGTTGGTAGCCTTTTGACATGGATACAGCATCCAAGAACATGACCGGATTTCAGATCTTACATAAGTATCACTCCATGATCAATTAGAAACTAAAAAAGAGAACAACTGGTCCTTCTTCACTGATAGTTTCTAAAACCTGGTTCTAATAGACTGATGGACTTAGAATGACGTCTTATCTCTCCAGCATGACCTACAAGGCTGATGGGACTTTGGCCCTGCCCAGCACCTCACTCCTCCTTCCTGCTCCCCCTCTTCTTTGTGCTCCAGCTACACAGCTAAACACAGCATGTTCCTGCTGTAGAATATTTAGATTTGTTTTTCCCTCTGTATGGAACGTTCTTCTCTCAGTCCTTTAATTCCAGGCTCTGCCCTGTCACGCAGGTTCAGTCACAGACGTCTCTTCTCAGAGAGGCCTTCTCTTACTATCCTCAATCTTAGTTCCTTGTTTTATTACCTCAGAACACTTGTTCCACCTGAAATTTCTTGTCTGTTTGTTGTGTGTCTCTTCCCACTAAAATATGGATTCCACGAGAGTGTCTCTTCTACATACCATCATCTCTCCACTTTTGAGAACCATACTTCACATAGTAGGTGCTCAGTAAATATTTGTTGAATAACAGAATGAGTAGATTGTTGTGAGGCTTAAATAAGATGATGGGGGATGAGTGCTCATTGAGTTGGCATACTGGAAACGTAGGTCCCAGGCCATTCCTGCCTCCACACTGTAACATACACCTACGCTAGGCTACCTGATCTGGTCCTCCAGTGCTCCTTCTCCTGGAATGGCACCTAGGGAGGTCCTCATCTTCGCTTGGTAGACAATGCAGTGATTAGCTTGTCTACTGTCTGCATGGTAATTTGAGCTGTTTTGTGAACTAATGGTACCCTGTTATATTATAATGGGAGTCTTTCTGAGAAGATGGCCAGCATGGTCATTTGCTTGGGGTTCTTTGTCTGCTGGGTAAGATCACTCAGGAGAAGGATGTTTGGGGAACCTAGAACTGGGCCGTAGAGAGGTAAAAGGGGTACCCGATAGCCAACAGGTTACTATGGGACCACCCTGCAATCTTGGCCATGAGGTCTTCAGACTCAGAGCATCCTTTCCTTTTGATGCAGGACAGGGTAAATTCCCCTTAGTGGAGGGGGAGCTCAAGTCCTGTACCAAGAGTGGGGTGTGGGGTGGGGGGAGGGTGAGGAAGGATGGGGCAGGAGAAGGGAGGGAGGGAGAGAAAGAAAAAGAGAGTTCTTGACTGAGTGCAGGAAAGAATTCAAGCGCACGCCAAAGTTAAAGTCGAAAGGAAAGTTTATTAGAGAATGAGTAACACTCCATAGGCAGAGCGTGGTCATCTCTCAGAGGCAGAGAGTGAGAGAGCCTGAGAGGGACAGAGACAATGAGAGGGACAGAGAATGAGAGAGAGGGTTCAGGGGAATTCAGTTTATATATCATTCTTTAGTTTCTGTGAATTACAGTTTAAAGACTTTGTTTACCCATCTTCTTTTGATAGTATGGGTATGCGGCATGAAAGATAAGAGTATGTAGTGTGAAAGAATGGTTATGTAGCAAGAAAGCCTGCTGGCAAGTCTCAGCCTTTGATCCATAGGTTCCCCATGGTTTTAGCCATAGGGAATGAATGATTGTGTTTATTTTCTATAGGACATGACTTAAAGACTGTTTTCCTGTTTCCCCTTCACAGTGTGGGAAATGGTTTTCAACAATCCCAGCAGAAATCTTCCTGCGCAGGCTTCCCTAGGTCTGGCAGCAACATGTTGCAGACACTGGATATAGCTTGATTTAACATTTAGTTCTCTTGTCCCCTCACTACATAATAATGAATTGTTTCAATGTACCTTTGAGCTCTGTCCCCTTCTTTTCTGTGTCCCTAGAGCCTATGCACTCATACACGTGAGGCATTCACAGCGTGCATGCTGGGTGGAGGGAGGAGGCCATCAGTTGATGTCCCGGTGGGCAAGACTGGAGCTGCGGAGGGGGCAGTCTGGATTTTAGCCAGGACTCTGCTGCTTTCTAGCTGCTGGGACATGAATAAGTGACACTGTCTCCCTGAGCATCAATTTCCTCTGCAGCCAATGGGATAATCATGTCTCCCTCTCTTGGCCCTTGGTCCTAAAGAAAGCCTGGCTGTGCTCTCGCTCGTAGTCTATGCCCAGGCCTGATGGCACTTTCTTCTCCCCTCTGCCTGTTCATGTTGCAGTATGCCTGGGTGGAGAAGCACTTTGGCCCTGACTTTCTGGAGCAGGTTGTGCTAACCAGAGACAAGACCGTGATCTCTGCCGACCTTCTCATAGATGATCGGCCGGACATCACAGGCAAGTGGCCTGCAGCAGGTGAGGAGCGAGTGTAGACAGCCAATAGCCACTCAGACAAACAGCACACAGGGCTGGGCCTCATGGCCCCTGTCCTAAGTAGTCCTCACTTAATCACCAGATATGTATCAGATATCCAGACTTGAGCCCAGCCCTGAGCCTCTGCCCTGTTGGGGAGACAAGGCTCTCTCAGCATCTGACCTGGGAGTCAGGAGAAGCAGTTTTCAGCTCCAGGCAGAACTTGCTGGGTAGCCTTCGGTCAGTCCCTTAACCTGGAAGCTTTGCCTTTATCATGTTAAATGAGGGTCCAACTCTGGCTTCCAAATATTTGTTTTTAGCAGAATACCCTCTCTCTCTTTTTTTTTTTTCTTTTCTAAAAGCAATTTGAACTGAACCTAATATATAAAACAGAAAAGTGAAGCAAAATTTCTCCAGCTGAAGGTTTGGGAGCTGTATTTGTCCCTTTTGCTTATGGATACCCCCTTCCTAAAACAAACAGACAGACATACAAATAAACCTTGAACTGGCTTTAAAGGAGAGGGGAAATTTATTATACCTAACTAAAAAGATGGGACAGGAGGCCTTTAGGCATGGCTGAATCTAGGAGTCCAGACAACATCAGTCAGAATTCAGTTTCTTTATCTCCTCGTTCTGCTCTGATTTGCCTTCATACTTACACAGGCTCTTTCCTCCTGGTAACCATCTATAGTTTCAGGGTTAAATCCTATTCTTTGGACTCCCTCAGTGGTAAAATACTGATTATTTCTTCCTTAATGGCTTTTTGAGCTGGTTTGGGAAACATGCCTATCTCTACACTAGTCACTGTGTCCAGAGAGTAGAATCCACAGTGTGCCCTCCCCTGACCTCCCTAACCATGCAGTTTCTCAAGGAGAGTAGGTCACAGTGCCAGTGGGGACGGTGACCTTGAGGGTCCCAGAGACTCCCTCAACTTCCATCTCTAACCATGGAAAGCAGGTAAGAGGCCTGTGTAGGAGGAGCTGGGGGTCCAGGCCATAACCCAAGGGGCAATGCCAGTATGGATATGTAGACATGAGAGATTGAAGCTTGGGAAGGTTTGCAGGGCCTGTGGTCAACAGCTGGTGAGCAGCAGAGCTGGCACTGGCCAGTGCAGGATGACTGGGCATGGGAGAGAGGAAGGGCAGGGTGTCAGCAAGGCTTAGCCTCTGACAGTGACTGGAGATTACCACAGCCACAGTTACTGCTGAGCACTGCTGTGAGCTGTCCCGTTGCTTTGTGGGAGCCACCTTGTTTAATCTTTGTGACTCCTAGGAGACAGGTGCTAATGCAGTCACCACTTTACTGACAGGGAAACCGAGTCTCAGAGGTGAGTTACTTGACTGAGGACACTTGAGAGTTGGTCCCAGGCAAACTCTCCAGGGTCCTGACATTGGTCTGAGTGCTGCTTTCCCGCCCACAGGGGCTGAGCCCAACCCCAGCTGGGAGCACGTCCTCTTCACATGCTGCCACAATCGGCACGTGCAGCTGCAGCCCCCCAGCCGCAGGATGCATTCGTGGGCGGACGACTGGAAGACCATTCTGGACAGCAAGCGGCCCTGCTGAGCTGGACTGTTCTCTGGGCCCCTCCGTGGGGCCCCTGACTTCAGGGCTCCCAGCTCAGGGCCTGGGGGGCTAGTGTATTGGCCTGGGGCCTTCCTCACAGATGCCCCATGCCCACTATGTGTCTCCTCCCCTTCCCCAGCCCTGCCAGCCCTTAAACTGGTCTTGGGGCTGGACTGGTCCAAGGGCCCTGGACAAGACTCATATAGCCGGGCAGTGCAAGCTGACCTCAGGCCATGGCTAGGCTGTGGAGGCCAGGGGCTCCAGACAGGGAGAGGAACAAGGGCATTGTTCAGAGGGCAAGGAGTCCTTCCCCTCCCCCAGGGAAGTCCCCTCTTCCCTGGGTCTGCAGGCCATCAGTGAGGTTGCCAGCAGCAAGATGGCTGAGGTGCTCCTGGTCTGAGAGGGCAATGAGCAGGAGCAGGTAGAGAAGAGCTCCTCATATACTCAGCCACCACCTCTTAACCCCTGTCTGCCCAGTCTGGTGCCTCCAGTGCCCTGCCATGCATTCAGCAAGCACCAAGTTCCAGGACATGCCAGGCTCTGTGCTGGGGTACCACACATGGCCCTGCCTTTGACCAGCTCATTGTTGGGGCCCCACTCAGGGCCCAGCAGAGTCATGAGACTTGAACGTTTGTTGAAGACATGAAAAATAAATGCTGTTCACATGTCATCTGAGGCTATGGCCTCCTCTAGCCTCAACTCCAAGATCCTCCAGCCTCTGGCCCTGAGCACCAGCCATAAATCTTATAAATACTTGGGTCATCCCCCTGCACTGATAAGAGGCTGAGGAGGGCACAGCTTCTCTAACCCCAAGCATCGGGTTCTGCATGGGCGCCAAGGAGGAATGGGGTCCTGATGGTGGCAGGGCTGCGCTGGACTCCAACTCCACTGATGGTGAAGTTTAGCAGATGCCTTCCACTCAAGTGCCTCCTTCCCTGGTTCTCCAGCAGCCCCTCCTGGCCCACACAGTTCAGAGCAGGGTCCCCCTACCCTCTGCTCTTCTCACAGCTAAGTTTCTGTAGGATCCCAGGAATTGTGTGGAGCTAGCAGGCTGATGATAGTCTCAGCTTTTGTTCCTTTTGATCTAGGAAGTTGCAGCTTGAACAACTACCTCTCTATACTTTCTCAAGAGGTCTCAGGGGCTTTCGCTCTTTCATTTCCTGCTCCCCCACTCTCCTCCCCAACATTACCCTTGCAGGGAACCCCTAATTTTTTCCATCTGGGGTCCTGGAAGGCCTTTCAGCCCTCTGTAGTAGGGACTCTTGAGCTACTAGGGTAGGTCAGGTAGGAGAAAAGATGAGGCACAGGTGCCTGAGGCTGGCGTAGCATCTTGCCTTTCTGGCTCTCAGGGCCTTAGGAGCCTGGGCCTAGTCACTCCAGATTAGGAAGGACTCTTGACTTGGCCAAAGGCAGTTCTCCCCTCCTTGGCTGGCTTTATCCCTTGGAGAACAGAGTAGGGAGCTTTGCAGGACAGTCCTGATGAGAGTGTATGTGGGGTTCGTCATGTGACCCAGAGACCATCTGGCCCAAGCAGAGCAGTGTCCAGAGCCCTGACTGATCTGAACTGAAGCCCTGGAAAGAAGCAAGACCTGGGTGTGCTGGTTCCCAAGCTGCTCCCTGAGGCCCTCTGCTCTGCTCACATGAGGATACAGCCAGTGTCTAAGCCAGGAGACTGTGTCACACGAATGATACAGTACTGCCCTTTCTTCCCAGCTTGTTCACTCTGCCCTCTTCCTCCCTGTCACCAGCAGCGCCTGCCCTTCTGGTCTTCTACACCCTCTTTTCAAAGAGCCTCCCCTGCTTAAAATTGTCAAGTCTAGACTTACCAGAGTCCTCCAAGACCACCCTGGACTGGCGGGGCTTTGCAGCCTCTGGCCCAGTGAGAGTGGCATCTTCCCCTTGATTTAGCCTTCCTGGGATGGGAAGAGTATCTGCTAGTGCCTGCCATGTGTGGGGCTTGTACTAGCCAGGCCACAGTATTGAACCAGGCCCACCCGGCCCCACTCTCAAAATAGTGTAGACTTTGCAGACCTTAATACAGAGGGAGCAGAAAAACAACTTAGTTCATTTCTATCCTGAGGCTTCATTCTGTTGACAAACTTAGTCCTGCCTGGTCACACCTGGGTTTCTCCTTCCACTCCTCAGGGAGTATCCTAAGCTGGAGGGCCAACTTCTTTTGTGGAGATATGTCAATGGTGAGGGCATCTGGTCTCTCATGGCGTTGCCGGACCAATGTGTGCTAGAGCATTGCTGGGATAGCCTGTTCCCCTGAGGTCAGCTTTGAGAACTAACGTCCAGTGGATGGCCCCCTCAGCCACAGGAGGCAGCTGGTCCAAAGCAAGCAATGAGACCTCTCTGCCTTCTCACCTCCTGAAGCCATTTCCTCCCTGCCCACCTAGCCCTTGGTGAAATGCAGGGGGCTCTAAGTGCCTTGGGCATGAGCAAGGATGGGGCAGGAGGCCAAGGTACAGAGCCCTACTCAGGGACAGTCCCACCTCAATCTGTCAACTCTGGCTGCCCATGCCATTCTCAGCCTGTGGCAAGGCCTGACTCTAGGTCTGCTCCTAACAAAGCTATAGCAAGGGTGTTCTGCTTCAGGTCCTCAAGAGGCTGACCCCTCTAAAACGTTTTCTTTTAAGGAGATTGCTGCCATGAGTTTGAAAGGCCAGTCTAGAAACTCCAATGCTATGAATTGCCACCTTTGTTCTCCATTCAGCTAGAATCACTGACCCTGAGGTAGCAGCCAGATGCTTCAGGTTGGAGTAAGATGCTTCAGAATGTGGCCCCACCAGACAAGTAATCACAAACAATTCATTTGTGATGAGTGCCACAAGAAGTCCGGGTGCTGTGGGAGCAGGGGGAGTGAGACCCTGTTCAGGCCAAGGTCCAGGATGGGCTCTCCCAGTATGTGGCATTGACTAGGCCTGAGTAAAAGAGGATGGAGCCTTTCCTGCTTTTTTTGTCATGCAGAGGCCCTGGGGGCAGGAAGGGGTCACTGAGGAGCTAGGAATGAAGAAGGCACAGGATTGGAACCTAGAGAAAAGGTAGGGGGGATCGGAGGTGGGGCCTGCACTGTGGCACTCAAAGGGAGGGACACCTGAGATAGCTGACAACATAAGCCAGGACCACAAAACTATGATTTTCAATTTGTCAAACAAGATACACCCAATTGAAATGAAGGTGACTTTCTTCAAATCTTGAGAAGCATATTTTGCTTCAGAACCATTTAATATACCACAGAAAAGGAAGTCCACCTCCTAATAGGAAAGCCAGGCTTGTCTTGCCCCGAGACTCAATGACATGTCAGCTTGGTCCCTCCTCTTCGTCATTGGCTGGCCTCGATGTGCCTTAGCTCTTGTCAAAAGTGAAGATTTATTCTTGTGAAAATATTGGAAATATCCAGGGCTATGGGACTGGAGCCCCTGGAAGGAGTGATGGCCTCCAGATTAGCCAGTGGTTTTAAGCAGAAAGAGTATAGTTTCTTCACTTTACTGGGTTAGTTTCCCAGTTGGGACTCATCCCAATATCACAATAATAACAACTATTTTCTTAGTACCTACTGTGTTCTGAGCACCAATGAACACTTGACATGGCCTCATAACTAGCCTCTTGTGGTCACTCCCATTTAACCAATGGGGCTGTGGGCTTGGCAGGGTCAGTGGTGCCAGGATTTTAGCCAGCTAGCCACACTGGAGCATATGCTTGTGACTGCCACACAATCCTGACCTCTAATCCAGAATTCCCTAAGGGCTTGGGTATCCATGAGTAAAGCAGAGTCTCACTCAGGCTGGGCCTCCATATGAAGGTGGATATTCAGGCATCCAACCTGAATTAGAAACTGGGGGATAGGTGGGAAAGGGTCAGGGGAGAGCTGGGCAATTCCTAGAAACCAGAGTTTCTAGGACTGACAGGGCCCTCAAGGACAAACCAGGGGAAGGAGGAGAGGAAGGAAGGAAGCTCCCCGATTCCCTGTGGGCCGGACATAGGGAGGGACATGTATCAGGGAGACAATGATACTTTGTAAACACCCCTGCTGCCCTCTATTTTCCCCCTTTTGGCCTCTGTTAGAGTGAGGATGAGCCAGATCCCTCAGAGATTCCCCTGCCCTCCAAAGTGCATGTGGCAGGGGTGTGAGAAGAGATAGAAATTCCAGCTGAAACCCCAGCTGGTTGAGGGCATTCCACACAGCTGAGGGGCAAATGAAACAGCTGTATGCCCCAGGGCCCCACCTCTCCTTCTGGCGAGAAGGATTCAGAGTCCCTGCCATCTGTGGAGATGGATGAGGATACTGGGCAAGAGCTTGGGAGGTGGCCACCAAGGAGGTCAAAGTGACCCTGGGGCTGAGGGCTGCAGGGGACCACCCAATCTGGCTGGGCTCTTTACCCCTGCTGCAGGGGCTTGGCAGTAAAAGCAGGTAAGGCAGAGGCTCCCAGCCCAAAACTGGGTGATGCAATCAGTGCACCAAGCAGAAACCAGCTACTGGATCTGGATGTCTCCTTAGCAGGGACAGAAACAAGAGAGACTCTTTAAAGAGTGAGAGGGAATATGAGCCCCTACAGGGAGTGGGGACTTTGAACTAAGTGATTCTAGAAGGAGCCTGAATTAGAGACCAAAGACCATTCTAGGTAGAAAGAGACTGCGTTAGTTTTAATTGGCAATTTTTAAAAATATGGTAGTGATAAGTTATTAGCGACCAGCTATAGTTAATAACAAACAGATTTCTGCACATCTGATTTTTAACATATAAGTTTGGTCCTTCCCACAACTTGCCCAGAAAGCCAGAACTCAGAGAGGTTCATTGACAAGCCTCAGGCTACCCAATGAGCAGTGCTGGGGTTTGAACTCAGCTCCCAGTGCCTGTAGGGGAGATCCAGAAGGCAGTGGGGCAGTGGGAGGGACCCAGAACAGGGAGTCTGGAGAAAGGGGCCCATTTTTGCTACCCGCACTCTGTGTGACCTTGGCAAAGCCACTTTTCTCTGCGCTCCTTTCCAGAGTTGGTCAGTTTCCATAAGAAAGGGCTGCAGGAAATAGGGACTTTTTAAAAATTTCAGAACGTTGCTGCTCAGTGGAGGAAACTGACTTGTCTATGAAACAAGGTGGTCAAATGGACTCAAGAGGCTCTGATGAGAACCAGAGGCGTCTGCCTAGGTTTGGCCACCAGGTGACAGCAACACAGCCCACTTCAAATGCAGTGTGTGTGTGTGTGTGTGTGTGTGTGTGTGTGCGTGCGCATGTGTTTGTGTGTGTGTGTGTCTGTGTGTGTGTGTGTGTGTGTGGTGGCGTGTTTGTGTGTGTGACAGAGAGACAGACAGAGACAGAGACAAAGACAGACAGAGACAAAGAGAGACAGAGACAGGATAGCAGTGGGAGTGCTAGTGATTAGTGAGTACACAGGTAACCACAGAGAAAGAAGGGAAAACCAAATTTCCTAAGCTCCCTTCTGGCCCTCCTGGACCAGCTTCTCCCAGGCTGATGTGGGAGGTCGGGCCCTGGATGTCAGGCAGACGAAGGACCTGTATCCAGTCTGCTTGGCTTACAGAAAACCTTGTCTCCAGCCACAAATCTCAAACACCTTCAAGACTCTAAGGTGTCCTGAGGAGAAAAGTCATCTTGCTTCCGAGTTGGGTGTTTGTGCAGGT